TGATCATCTCAGGCAGCAGTCTTGAATATGTTCTGGATGTAGAATTCAGACATCCAGGCCATCTGTTCCTGTTGGAGATTTTTCAGGTGGCCTCCCTTGGTCAAAGGTGATTTTTCTTAACTCTGAATAAATTCAGAGCCTCTCGTTTTCTGTGGAAACAAAAGCAGAATCTCTTCTCCAAAGTAGCATACCTTTTGACTTCAATTTTGAAGCCAAGGCATTTTCAAAATATCTATATTGGATTAATTCAGCAGCATTTATAAACAAAAGTCTTTTAGCAGCTGTTGCTCCTTCCTCAACAATCAAACAATTCAAAGAGCATAATAACATACAGTATCAAGATTCTCTCTGTATTTTCCATCTTTATGCAGCTTTATTTTCACCTCTATTTCTTTTATTTTTACTTTTACTTTTTGAGACAGGTTCTCTGTATATCTTTGTCCTGGAATAACACTGTAGACCAGGCTGTACTTGAACTCACAGAAATCCTTCTGTCTCTGTCTCCCCAGTACTGGGCTCAAAGGTGTTTGCTACCACACCTTGAACTCACAGAGATCCACGTGTCTTTGCTTCCCCAGTGCTAGGATTAAGGGTGTGTGCTACCACACCTTGAACTCAGAGATCTGTCTGTCTCTGCCTCCCAGGCATTGGGATTAAAGGTGTGTGCTACCACACCTTGAAGTCACAGAGGTCAACTACCTCTGCCCCTTAAAAGTCTCAGAGGTCAATGTACCTCTGCCTCCCAGGCATTGGGATTAAAGGTGTGTTCTACCACACCCAACTACTCTTTCTTTTTACTTTAAGAACTTTAACTTTTATCCTGCATATATTTTTAACATACTGTAAACCATTTAAAGGTTTTTTCTCTTTGAATCTCTCTTTACTGTATATCTTTTTTTTGACTACATAAGCCTTTAATTTACTAAGCAATATGGAGAGCCATGGCTTTGACGGCTAGATCCTCGCGGCTGAGGTACCAGCCAGAGCTGTGTTCACTGTCACAACTCTATGGCGTTTCAAGGTCCTTGCCAGCAAGTTGCAGCATTCTGCTCAGAGACCACACTCAGTCGGACTGCCTGCCTGAAAGAGTCAGAGATTGCCTTGGCAGAACAGCCCAGAAAGCCGACATTTTAAAACAGCACAGCTTTTTTCCTGCTACAGCTTAAAACTGAAAAGTATGTGTTCAGCTTTTCATCAACACCGTTTAAGTGTTTTGTGGCAGGACCTCTTAATGAGCTGCAAGGTTTTGCAGCTAAAGCTGAGTCAGGAAGCCTCTCTTAGATGAGAGCCTTGCTTGCCTCTAGCAAGCAAAGTAGACCCAAGAAATTGCTGCTACCAACAAAACATGCTTTACTCTATTCTTTCCCAAGCTTTTTCAGGCTTTCTGTGGATTCAGTTATCCACGTCTGGGCGCCATATGTAGTAAGAGCTGCGGGCAGGCCTGCTTTTCGCCTCACCCGGCTCCCACACAGCTAGCTTAGTCCCAGAAATAACAACACACAAATTGTATTCATTTAAGCACTGCCTGGCCCATTATCTCTAGAGAGTTAGTTACTGACTAACTCTCATATCTTGATATTAACCCATTTCTAATAATCTGTAGCACCACGAGGTGGTGGCTTACTGGAAAAGATTCAGCATGTCTGACCTGGTGGCTGGCTCCATGGCATCTGCCTCATAACCCTCTTCCCAGCATTCTGTTTTGTTTACTCCGCCTACCTAATTTTCTGTCCTATCAAGGGACCAAGGCAGTCTCTTTCTTGACCAATGAAACTAACACAATAGACAGATAACCCTCCTCCATCAGGGAAGAAGAGAGCAGAGGTATTATCCCCACACAGAAATAATAGGAGTAAAGGGTAAGGAGTCAGTCTTTTATAGAACAATGCCCTGACATTTCTAGAGAACTCCAGAGAGAAGGGAACTGACATGAATCCATACCAGCTGTAGGCCATATGCCAGATGACACCAAAAAAAAATCATGAGGATGAGACAATTTTTATGACTACATCAAGACAGAACATGAGAAAATGAGTTCAAAATATGAGAAAAGGGGGTGCCTATAAAGAAAGCTGATGTCTATATTTCATGGATAAGGCTGATCAGAAGCAGCTAAGCTAAAGACAAGAGACGGGGAAAGCACAAAGGCAAATGATGGGGCAAGAATGAGTCAGGTGATGAGGGAGGGAACAAAGGGTGACTTACAGGCTGCAATTCAACTAGTCCCCCAATGGCTAGCTGTGAACAGAAAGTTCTAGATCCTAGTAGTTGCCCGGTCCCACAAGACTGGATGTCTCAGCTGGACTTCTAGATAGGTTGAAAAGCCAAACCAAAGAAGTAGGCTCCAACGTGTGTAAGGGAATGGATGTGCTAGCCATGCAAGGGCAAGCAAACAAAGTAAAAGATTTCCTCTTTGTGCTTACTTCCAAACTTCCCACAGAAGGTGTGACCATATTAAAGGTAGGTCTTCCTGTCTCAAGATATTGATTAAAGGTGTATATCTTCCTGCCTCAGTATCTGAATTAAAGGCCTGTGTCTTCCAACCTTCAGATCCAAGACAAAGAGTCTCCAAACCTGGAACCAGTTTGCCCCTGCCTGGATTTACAGGCCTCTCACTGGTGTCCAGATCAGGGTCATTAATTCTGAAAAAGAGTCACAATGGGAGACCAAGCCCCACCAACAGTAGGGTCCATGGGTCTACCCCTCCTCCCGTGGTTTTAACTAGAGGACAGTTTCTGGCCAGACATCTTGTTGCAATTTCCAGCTAAACATTCTTTTTGTTCCTGTGCTCCCTCTGGCCCCCTGGTGGTTAGCTATAGGGCCATTGTTTACTCCATCTCGGACATGGCATTTTCTCACTCTCTTTAGGAAATTCCATTGTGCATCAGCTAGGTATATAATGCTTTCTCTAAGTTTGAATAAACTGCATTCAGCTTTATCTTCTCACAAATGACCCATGTCTCTTGTGTGTTCTTTTAATCTCCAGGCCCTTGCTCAGCTTGAGAATGGTACCATAGCGTGAACTGTATAATGAGTGTAACATAGTCATCCCAACCAACCAACCATCCAGCAACTAGCAATAAAATACCTACTGAAGGAAGCCTTGGCCTTTCTGCTCTGAAGAACTGCCCCAGGATGCTATTCCCTGACAATGTTTGAGGTGGCCTTCCTGAACAGATGTGCATGTGTCCTGAGGGCCATGGTGCCTGCCTGGCCCCTACCACCTCTTCGCATTGGATCACTGATAAAGGCCCCCACACATGCCTGGAGACCTTGAAGGTTCTGCTTAATGAAGTTGTACTTATTACACATAAGCCTAGCCTCAGGATAGGAACCATCAGAATGCTGGCATTAAGACCCTGTCCATCACTTACTGCCACCTCACAGACTTGACTACCTCCCCCAATCCCTGAATCTTTCTAAGCTCAAACATCTGTACCTGAGTTTGGCACCTTTATGTGTGTGGCTTAAATAATTGAATTGTTCTCTAAGAGTCAAAGACACATGCAAACTCTGGAACTGGAAAAATGCTGACTGGATGATTATGAATTTAGCATTTTCATTCCTGTCCTGAGCCAATGCTACCAGCTCAACGTCAGTTTCTACATTAATAAACTCTGTCCTGAAGCAGCTGTCTTCAACCACACAGCCAAACTTTGCAGCTGATTCAGGAGCTATACCCTGCCCTTCTGCAGTCCTATGACAGGGGCCTAATACTTGTAGACAGATTGGGCCAACTTTGTCCTGAGCTCCTGGATATACTCAGGTCCAAAAGAAAGACCAAGACAACCTCTTGTTACAATCTTCTGCCCTAAAAGTTTTCAGTCCTGGGTCTGTGACCTGGAGAGCAGACCCTCTCTTTGCTGGCAATAAACGAGGGAAGGTTGCTACATGGTACCGAGAAATGGAAGCCTAGAGTGGGGGATTGATGAAATCCTCTGGGATTATTGCACCTTGACAGCCCCCCACAAAGACCGCCTACTTTCTGTCGGTTGCACACCATGAATGTGCTTTGTTTCTGGGGGAAGAAAAAAAATAAAGGCAAAGGCGTGTGCCCTCCTTTCTCAAAGGTCTGAACAATAACTGAATCCACACACTTTCCACCAAGAAGGAAATCACAGCTGTGCCTAACTTTTAAGTTTTTTCATTATTACTTAAAAATTGATACCAATCCAAATTTCCACTCCCTTCCCTCTCCCTACATAAACTCTTCCCTCACTCCTCTAACTCTAAGGGAGTGCCATGCACCCTGCCCTGTGGAAAGTCGAAGACCCTTCCTACCACACCTAGCTTGAGCAAAGAGAATAGGATCCCATGAAGCCGGCATATGCAAACAGAGACACATCCCAGTGTCACTATCAGTGGCCCCTCAGTCTGCCCCAGCTGTCAACCCCCTTCAGAGGGGCTTGGTTTGTCCCATGATTGTTCAATCCCAGTCCAGTTGGAGTTGGTGAGCTACCATTAGCTCATGCAAACTGTCTCAGTGGATGACCCCTCATTGTCTTGAATTCCTTGCTCATACTCTCACTCCTTCCACTCTTCAACTAGATCTTGGGAGCTCAGTCCAGTGCTCCGATGTGGGTCCTTACCCTTTGTTCCCCATCTGTCGTTGGACAAAGGTTCTATGGAGTTTTAAGATGATCAGTCTGAGTACAGGGTAAGGTCAGTTCAGACACCCTCTTCTCTGCTGCTTAGGGTCTTAGTTGGGGTCATTGGCAATTTTCTAGTGCCAGGTTTCTTGCTAACTCCATAATGGCTCCCGCAATATATCTTTCCTAGATCTCACATCTGTCCTTCCTCCATCTCAGCTATCCCATTCCCTCAAGTTCTCCTCAACCCCCTTATCCCCTTCCTTCTACCCTCTGCCCCGCTACTCCCAAATTTTGTCTGTTTCCAACATCCATTTGGGTCTATATATGTTTTTCTTTGGATTTGCCTTATTTCTTAGTTTCTCTAGGATCCTGAACTATAGGCTTATTGCACTTTGTTTATGACTAGTAAAAAATATGGAATGCTTCATGAATTTGTGTGTCATCCTTCCACAGGGGACATGCTAATCTCTCTGTACTGTTCCAATTTTAGTTGGAACAATTTAGCATTTAGACATATGCTGCCTAAGCGAGCATGCCCAACATTTCTTGATTGCAGTTCATTCCAGATATAGTGAACTTGACAAGCAAACATAGCCACCCCACCAGGGAAGTTCCAGTAATGGGTGACAATAGGAAACCAAATAACTTCCCGATGGAAGCTTGAGAACTGTCTGAATCACCCTCGAGTAGAGTGGTTCAGATGAACAACCCGAAAAGTTATATCCATTGCAGGAATAACAGGGTAATGAAACTCCTTGGAATGGACCAATCTGATTCCATAGGTTCACCTTATACTACAGCTTTGCTTGAAAAAAAAAAAGCTCATAAATATAGCTTTGTACACAGCTTATAAGCCCTGAACAATGAGGTATTCATCCTATGGCACCAAGTTCTTAGGCCCCGGAGGTTATGGTAGATTGTGACTTAAAGTTCAAAGATTCTCTTTTGCAAGCAACCAGCAAAACTCAGTTACTCTTGAGTGACAGAAGTGAGAAACTCCACTTTTCAATATTGTGGATTGCGTTACTGCAGTGTTTACAAAAAAGTCTCTGGTAGATATTAGCTAGAGACCAGAGAAGCAGGCTTACTTTTTGAAGGCGTGTTGCTGATGTCTGTTGATGTTTATTATAGCAGGATTCAATTAACAGAAAGTGTGGATTTAACACCATTTTGGTGATAAAATCACTGCTACATGTTACCTCAAGTGCCACTTCATTAGACCAAAATTTGTACACAATTGGTCTAACATTTTGATTAAAGTGAGGAAAAGAGGTTAGTATCGCCAGCGGTTGCTTTTCTGTCATTGTTTTAAAACACCACACCCATAGCAGCTTACAGGAAGGGTCTTTGTGAGGCTCAAGGTTCCGGAAAGTTGAGCGAACACGATGGCTGAGCTACACCATGTGGCAGAAATAGCTGTGAACTCACATCTTAAAGCAAGCAGGTGGTATAGAGCACACTCAAGATGGTGCCAACTTTTTTTGGTTTGTTTTTTGCTTGTTTTTTTTTTGTTGTTTCTGATTTTGTTTGATTTTTTTTTTTTTGCAACCTCAAAGCCCATCCCCAGTGACACACTTTCCCCAGTAAAGCCAGACCTTCCTTGTAGGACCCATGGATCTACCCCTGCCTCTAGATTTTATTTTCAGGACAGTTTTTTCCAGTCAGCTAGACACCTGTTTGTTCCTGTGCACCCTCTGCCACCCTGGTTGTTAGCTATAGGGCCATTATTGACTCCACCTTAAGCATGATAATTTCCCACCTGCATGGGGGGTATTCCACTGCAGCAGCTAGATATTTAAAAGGTTTTTCCTAACTTTGAATAAACGGCATTCAGCTGATCTCCTTTAGAATGACCAAGGTGTCTTGTGTGTTTTTAATCTTTAGTCCCTTGCCTGGCTTGCAAATGGTACAATGACACGTGAACTGAACCAAGAGTAATACAGTTGGAGACCCATCAGAGAGATCAGATGTTGCACTTCCTAATCCTTCCCAAATGGGCCACCAACTGGGGATCAAATATTCATATGCCAAGACTTATGTGGTGGGGAGACATCTCAAACTACAATACCCAATCAGAATCTGTGTCAAATCTAAAGGTCCTCTTAAATTCAGAACCATATATTGGTTTCTAGGCAAAGCTGGGGCTCTGAAAGTATTTTGTACTTACACCTCTCCTGATATGGATTTTCTGAGTTCAAACAAACCAGCTCCCACTGTTGAGAACAAAACAATCAGCAGTGCTTGTTCTTGAGGTTACCTAGATCCTAGATGCCCTCCTTAGGAAGATCTATGAGATATGGATGCTCTTCTATGTGTTTGGATCCCTTACCCTACAGCCTATTTTGCGACACAATTGAGACAAGCAATGGCCAGCAAGTAATCACAGCTCCCTGATGTCATCCAAGAGACAGAAAAGTTTGTTCTTGGTGACATAAGAGCACTTAACTGCTCTTCACAGTGCAAACATGATAATGATACCGACTGTCTTTTAAGTGTTATATCAGAAACAAGCATTTGTGCCTCCCACAATGCCAGAGTTTGAGTGACAAATTCACAAGGTTTTGATTAAGTTCCAACATCAAATTCTTCTCTAGGACTCAAGAAAAAACATAGCTATGAGTCAATATAAAAATAATCATGAAGTTAATACACTGATTCTTCTAAGATACAATAGCATAGAACAAACATGGCTCCCAAAGGAGAGAAAGGACACTGACTAAAAGTTCAGACTAGGTCAAGACTGAAACCCATGAGGGTAATTCTAATCCTATAGTTCTATCTACCAGGTAGGGCACATGGTGGCATGTTGTAAGCGTCAAGAGGTTTGGGAAACCCCATTCGTGTGGACTTTTTGGTAGAAGACAACACCATGACTTCCTGTTGTGCTGGCTCTGCTCATTGTAGCTTCCCTTGGCAGATTTCCACATTCCTAGTATCTCCAATGGCCTTCACTGCCAGGACTGCCCGTGGTCTTCTCAGGAAGATCCCCGAAGGACCCAGCCCTGATGAACACTTCCTTGCCTCAAAGACCTTTGTAACATGAAGTAGCCCTGCTTCTTGTATCTGTCCTGCCCAGTACCCCACAGCCAGCATTTCCCAGAGAAAAATCACAGAGATCTCCATGAGTTATTGGATTGGCCCATTAGCTCTTGTAACTTAAGTTAGCTCATTATTTTTATCTATGTTAGCCACATGGCTCAGTACCTTTTCCAGCAGGGCACCTTACAATCTTGCCTCTCCTGTGGTCTGGGCAGAACTGCAGAGGGAGATTCCTGCTTCCCAGAATATTCCTGTTCTTTGCTCCACCTCTACTTCCTGTCTGGGTTTCCCCTCCTATACTTCTTTCCTGGCCAATCAGCCATTTAAGATTTGATAGACTACAGACAATGCTCCCGCACCAGACCTTCCTTTGAAATCTGGGTAAAAGCCTCCGTGTCCTATGCCTTTCAATCTGCAAATGATGAGGCAAGAATGAGTCAGGTGATGAGGGAGGGACCAAAGGGTGACTTACAGGCTGCAATTCAACTAGTCCCACAGTGGCTAGCTGTGAACAGAAAGTTCTAGATCCTAGTAGTTGCCCAGTCCCACAAGACTGAATGTCTCAGCTGGACTTCTAGATAGGCTGGAGAATTATATCAAAAAAGTAGGCTCCAACATGTGTGAGGGAATGGATGTGCTAGCCATGCAAGGGCAAGCAAACAAAGTAAAAGATTTCCTCTTTGTGCTTACTTCCAAACTTCCCACAGAAGTATGACTTCCTGTCTCAAGATTTTGATTAAAGGTGTATATCTTCCCGTCTCTGTTCCTGAATCAAAGGCCTGTGTCTTCCACCTTCAGATCCAAGAAAAGAATCTCCAAGCCTGGAACCACAGCCTGCCCCTGCCTGGATTTACAGGCCTCTCACTGGTGTCCAGATCAGGGTCATTAATTCTGAAAAAGAGTCACAATGGGAGACCAAGCCCCACCAACAGTAGGGTCCATGGGTCTACCCCTCCTCCCATGGTTTAACTAGAGGACAGTTTCTGGTCAGACATCCTGCTGCATTTTCCAGCTAAACATTCTTTTTGTTCCTGTGCACTCCCTCTGGCCCCCTGGTGGTTAGCTATAGGGCCATTGTTTACTCTATCTCGGGCATGGCATTTTCTCACTCTCTTTAGGAAATTCCATTGTGCATCAGCTAGGTATATAATGCTTTCTCTAAGTTTGAATAAACTGCATTCAGCTTTATCTTCTCACAAATGACCCATGTCTCTTGTGTGTTCTTTTAATCTCCAGGCCCTTGCTCAGCTTGAGAATGGTACCATAGTGTGAACTGTATAATGAGTGTAACATAGTCATCCCAACCAACCAACCATCCAGCAACTAGCAATAAAATACCTACTGAAGGAAGCCTTGGCCTTTCTGCTCTGAAGAACTGCCCCAGGATGCTATTCCCTGACAATGTTTGAGGTGGCCTTCCTGAACAGATGTGCATGTGTCCTGAGGGCCATGGTGCCTGCCTGGCCCCTACCACCTCTTCGCATTGGATCACTGATAAAGGCACCCCCACACGCCTGGAGACCTTGAAGGTTCTGCTTAATGAAGTTGTACGTATTACACATAAGCCTAGCCTCAGGATAGGAACCATCAGAATGCTGGCATTAAGACCCTGTCCATCACTTACTGCCACCTCTCACAGACTTGACTACCTCCCCCAATCCCTGAATCCTTCTGAGCTCAAACATCTGTACCTGAGTTTGGCACCTTTATGTGAGTGACATAAAACAATTGGATTATTCTTTAAGAATCAAAGACACATGCAAACTCTGGAACTGGAGAAATGTTGACTGGATGATTACAAATTTAGTATTTTTATACCAATGCTCCCAGCTCAAGGTCAGTTTCTACATTAATAAACTCTGTCCTGAAGCAACTGTCTTCAACCACACAGCCAAACTGAGCAGCTGATCCAGGAGCTATACCCTGCCCTTCTGCAGTCCTATGACAGGGGCCTAATACTTGTAGACAGATTGGAACATCTTTGTCCTGAGCTCCTGGATATACTCAGGTACAAAACAAAGACCAAGACAAACTCTTTTGTTACAATCTTCTGCCCTAAAAGTTAAATTTTGGGTCTGTGACCTGGAGAGCAGACCCTCTCTTTGCTGGCAATAAACGAGGGAAGGTTGCTATATGGTACCGAGAAATGGAAGCCTAGAGTGGGGGATGGATGAAATCCTCTCTGGGATTATTGCACCTTGACAGCTCCCCACAAAGACCGCCTACTTTCTGTCCATTGCACATAATAAATGTGCTTTGTTTCTGGGGGAAGAAAAAAAGATCAAGGCACAGGCATGTGCCTTCCTATCTCAAAGGTCTGGACTAGAACTGGATTCACACACTTTCCACCAAGAAGGAAATCACAGTTGTGCCCAACTTCTAAGTTTTTATTATAACTTAAAAACAATACCAATCCAAATTACCACTCCCCTTCCCAGTCCCCTCCTCCCTCTCCCTACACAGAGCCTCCCACCTACCAATCCAACCCTAAGGAGGGCCATGTGTCCTGCCATGTAGAAAGTTCATGGCCCTCCCTACTACATCTTGGTTGAGCAAGGTTTACATCCAAAGATAGTAGGATCCCATGAAGCCAGCATATGCAAGTAGAGACACATCCCAGTGTCACTGTCAGTGGCCCCTCAGTCTGCCCTAATTGTCAATCCCCTTCAGAAGGACTTGATTTGTTCCATGCTTATTCACTCCCAGTCCAATTAGAGTTGGTGAGCTACCATTAGCTCAAGCAAACTCTCAGTGGATGACCCCTCATGGATTTGAATTCTTTGCTTATACTCTGACTCCTTCCACTCTTCAACTGGAACTTGGGAGCTCAGTCCAGTGTTTTGATGTGGGTCATTGCCTCTTTTCCCATCTGTTGTTGGACAAAGGGTCTATGGTGATATTTAAGATAATCAGTCTGACTACAGGGTAAGATCAGTTCAGACACCCTGTCCTCTACTGCTTATGGTCTTAACTGGGGTCATCCCTGTGGGTTCGTGGGCAATTTTCTAGTGCCAAGTTTCTTACTAACTCCATAATGGCTCCCTCAATATATCTCTTTCCTTGCTCTCATATCTGTCCTTCCTCCATCTCAACTATCCCCATTCCCTCAAGTTCTTGTCAACCCCCGTTCTTCCCCCTTCCTTCTACCTCCTGCTCCCTGATCCCAAATTTGTCTGATTCCAATTGCCAGTTGAGTCTGTATATATTTTTCTTTGGATTCACCTTATTTCTTAGTTTCTCTAGGATCCTGAACTATAGGCTTATTGCACTTTGTTTATGACTAATAAAAAATATGGAAAGCTTCACGATTTGTGTGTCATCCTTCCACAGGGACCATGCTAATCTCTCTGTATCGCTCCAATTTTAGTATATATGCTGCCTTAGCAAGCATGCCCAACATTTCTTGATTGCAGTTCATTCCAGATACAGTGAACTTGACAAGCAAAAATAGCCATCCCACCAGGGGAGCCCCAGGAATGGGTAACAATGGGAAACCAAATAATTCCTGATGGATCCTAGAGAGCATCCTGATCTACCCTCAAACAAAAGTGGTTCAGAAGAACAAACAGCAAAGTTATATCCATTGCAGGAATAACAGGGACATGAAATTTTTTGTTATGGACAAATCTGACCCCATAGGTTCATTATCTACTCCAGATTTACTTAAGAAAGAAATAAAGAAAGGAAGGAAGGAAGGAAGAAAGAAAGAAAGAAAGAAAGAAAGGAAGGAAGAAAGAAAGAAAGAAAGAAAGGAAGAAAGAAAGAAAGGAAGAAAAAGAAAGGAAGGAAGGAAGGAAGGAAGAGAAAAGAAAGCTCATAAATGTAGCTTTGTCCACAGCTCACAAGACCTGAACACTGAAGTATTCATCCTATGGCATCAAGTTCTTGGGCCTTTCTGGCATTTACCCAGAGATTATGGTAGATTGTGACTTAAATTTGAAAGATTCTCTTTTGCAAGACACTAACAAAACTCAGAGAAGGGGTGGGGAAAGCACAAAGGCAAATGATGGGGGCAAGAATGAGTCAGGTGATGAGGGAGGTACCAAAGGGTGACTTACAGGCTGCAATTCAACTAGTCCCACAATGGTTAGCTGTGAACAGAAAGTTCTAGATCCTAGTAGTTGCCCAGTCCCACAAGACTGGAAGTCTCAGCTGGACTTCTAGATAGGTTAGAAAATTATATCAAAGAAGTAGGCTCCAAAATGTGTGAGGGAATGGATGTGCTAGCCATGCAAGGGCAAGCAAACAAAGTAAAAGATTTTCTTTTTGTGCTTACACCCAAACTTCCCACAGAAGTATGACTTCCTGTCTCAAGATATTGATTGAAGGTGTGTATCTTCCCGCCTCTGTATCTGAATCAAAGGCCTGTGTCTTCCAACCTTCAGATCCAAGACAAAGAGTCTCCAAGCCTGGAACCACAGTCTGCCCCTGCCTGGATTTACAGGCCTCTCACTGGTGTCCAGATTAGGGTCATTAATTCTGAAAAAGAGTCACAATGGGAGACCAAGCCCCAACCATCCAGCAGTTTGCAATAGAGCACTTGCTCTATGGAAGGAAGCCTTCACCATTTCTGCTATGAAGGACTTGCCCCAGGATGCTGCTTCCTGCCAATGTTTGAGGTGGACTTCCTGAACAGACATGCACATGTCCTGAGGGCCATGGTACCTGCCTGGACCCTACCTTGTCTTCATATTGATCACTGATAGACTAGCCCACCTGGAGACCTCGAGGTTCTGATTAATGAATAAGTTGTGCTTATTACACATAAGCCTAGCCTCAGGATGGGAAACATCAGAATCCTGAGGTTCAACCCTCTCCCATCACTTACTGCCCCCTCTAATATTTGGATTTCCTGCCTCAGTCCATGAGCCCATCTGAACTCAAACATCTGTACCTGAGTTCTTCACTTTTATGTAAGTGGATTAAGTCACTTGGAATTTTCTTTCAGAGAATCAAAGACACATGAAAACTCTGGAACTGGAAAAATGTTGACTGGACAAGTATGAATTTAGTATTTTCATGCCTGCCCTGAGCCAATGCTCACAGCTCAAGATCAATTTCTACAATAAACTCTGTCTGTCCTGAAGCAACTGTCTTCACCACACAGCCAAACTGAGCAGCTGATTCAGGAGCTATACCCTGCCCTTCTGGAGTCCTATGACAGGGGCCTAATACTTGTAGACAGATTGGAACAACTTTGTCCTAAGCTTCTGGATATACTCAGGTCCAAAACAATGACCAAGACAACCTCTTGTTACAATCTTCTGCCCTAAAAGTTTTCAGTCCTGGGTCTGTGATCTGGAGAGCAGACACTGCCTTTGCAGCAATAAACTAGGGAAAGTTGCTACACGGTACCGAGAAATGGAAGCCTAGAGTGGGGGGCTGATGAAATCCTCTGGGATTATTGCAGCTTGAGACTGCACTCCATAAAGATCGCCTACTTTCTGTCCATTGCACATAATAAATGTGGTATGTTTATGGGGGAAGAAAAAGATCAAGGCACAGGCGTATGCCTTCCTATATCAAAGGTTTGGACTAGACCTGGATCCACACACTTTCCACCAAGCAGGAAATCACAGCTGTGCCCAACATTTGACTGTAGTTCATTCCAGATAGTGAAGTTGACAAGCAAATTGCTATCCCACCAGGGGAGCCCCAGGAATGGGTGACAATGGGCAACCAAATAACTTCCTGATGGATGCCCGAGAGCTGCCTGAATCACCCTCGAGTAAAGCGGTTCAAATAAACAACCGGAAAAGCTATATCTATTGCAGGAATAAAAGGGAAATGAAACTTCTTGGAATGGACCAATCTGAAACCATAGGTTCATCATGTACTCCAGTTTTGTTTTAGAAAGGAAGAGAGAGAGAGAGAGAGAGAGAGAGAGAGAGAGAGAGAGAGAGAGAAAGAGAGAGCGAGCTGAGGGAGCTGCTTCTGCTCCTTCAGCCATTAGACTTTACAATACTAGCCCACTTGGGCATGGTCTTGTTTGCTTTAAAAAACAGCAGTAGCCGTGAGTTCGCTCTCTTGCTTGCGGCTCCGCTTATGGCTACTCGACTCTTTTCCTGATTGCGCAGAGGGCTGTTGTCTGGAAGGGTGATTTGCAAGTTTTTTCCCTTTAAATAAATAAGCATTCTATTAATCATAATTCCAAACTGTTGTGGGACTGTTTGTGACTTACGCCATCTTCTGGCGCCCCAGCATTTGGTTTTACAACCCTTCTTCCTCCCATTAGGCTGCCTGCCACCAGCTCTGCTTGGCACAAGCCCTCCCCTCAGTCGCGGCCTGTGCCCTGTGTGTGGAGCCAGCAGTTCAATATAAATTATCACTCAGTGGCTTTTCTTGCTGCAATTCTTTATATTTCTTTATATTTCTTTATATTTTTACAAGCCTCAGATTGGCTTCAAGTCCCCACACACTATTGTTTGCCTCCCCACGTGGATTTAAACTCCATGCCTCCCAGACTTCACAGGCCTGGACAGTCTCTACCCACCTGGTATGCTCTGAGTCGTTTATAAATCTCCCTCGCAAGCGCAGTGCTTAAGTGGCACAAGTCAGAGCACAAGCGGCTGCTGAAAGCTGAAACCCCTCGGGTCGACTCTGTCACATGGACGCATATGCGGCTTCCAGACTGCTCTTCTCTATCCCTGGATTCTGGGTTTTTAGTTCCATGTATGGAATTTGATTTAATTACATTTACTTTGTTGAGCAACTCATTATTTCCCAGTTTTTAACAAATACTAAGGCGGACACTGAAACAGGACCCCATTTCTGTCACCTTTGCAGTGATTCTAGTCGTGACTAAGCAAAAGCACCACCTGCTGGATAACAGGTAATATGGCAGTTTTCTTTTCCAAAGCAACTTTTACTGCTTTCTTTACTAATTCAATGGATTATATCATGCGAGGTTTATATGACTATGGGGATACCTCAATTTATTAGTTACTAGATTTCAGTTTACTTTTCCATACTCTATCATTAAGGAAGAATATGGTACTCCTAAGAGTGATACAATCTTTATGAATAATGAAAGGCTAGTTGAAAGGGTTAAAATTATTGAAAATCAGAGGTTATCTGAACAAGTGGATAATATGATAGGCAAAATTGACTCCATATCTAAGGGTACTAGAAGTTACCTGAAAGGGTTCAGGCTGTTGAATTTGATGTTCAGAAGTTATCACAAAGTTTTGATAAGGTAACAGACAAAATGTACCTCCAGGACGGGAATCTACATGATATCCAAGAAAAGTTTAATGTAGAGATGTTATCTTTGAAAGGAAACATTAAGGCCTTGTAATCACAGGTGCAGAATGGGCACCAAAAAAATTGACACCTTAGTGAAACCACTAGAAACACATGCAGGTCAGGAGACTCAGGCTTTAAGATAGACAATGATAAAAAGATTTGAAATAATCGAAGAAATTATTGGAGCTGGTGAACAGAGTAAGAAGGCACAAGGATGGGATACAATGTCACCACCAGCTGTCAGAACTGGTTTACCCAGGGTTTTCATGTCATACCCTGTAATTTACTCTGACAAAGCATCAACTTCTAAAGGCTCAAAGGGATTCAAAGAAGGTAGATGGATGGCAATAGGAATGAATGATCTAAAAGAAATTAAGCAAGCTGTCATTAATTATGACTTGTACTCTGCATTTGTTTGAGGAAATAAGGACTTGGGCTTCTAATGTCAAAGCTACTTCCCATGATGTCTCTCAGTGTCTGCGGTATTAGATGATGGATCTTCCTTGATGTTTGGAATTTATTTCAGAGAAGAATCCAAACATATGGAACAGCAAGGAAGAGCAAAAGGTGTGGAGGTTTCCCAAGATTAAATTCTTGGTGTAGGAGCATATGCTGATCCACAGGTCCAAGCTCTTTACAATGAGGAAGTATTGTTCCTAATTCACAAAGCAGCCCTTGAATGCTTGGAATAGAACACAAGATCCAGGGAAAAGAATCGAATCTGCCCAGGGTTAGGCAGGGACAGAGAGAGCCCTTTACTGACTTTTTGCAAAGATTAATTAAGGTTCTGCAAATAGGAGTAACAGACCCCAAAGCTAGACAAATAATTCTTGAATCTCTGGTTTTTGAAAGTGCAAACATAGAATGTAGAAAGATAATTGGGCCTTAAGGTCTAGATCAGCACCTATGGATGAATGGATTCAGCATATGATGAATGTTGAGCCATTTGGCTAGAATGATCAATCTTGGGTAGGAAAGCGAATTCCAAAGCAATGAGGAGACAAATTGCCAGGTATTTTAATTGCGGTAAATTAGGATATCTGAAAAGGGATTGCAGTCAAAGAATTTCTAGGAATAATATCTCCTCTGGGAATGACAATAGGAGACCTTAACCTTCAGGTATATTTAGAAGGTGTGGTAAAGGTC